TTTACATAGAGGAAGGGAGAGGGATAGAGAGTTAGAAACATCGATGAGAGAGAAACATCGATCAGCTGCCTCCTGCACACCCCTTATTGGGGATGTGCCCGCAACCAAGGTACATGCCCTTGACCACAATCGAACCTGGGACCCTTCAGTCCACAGGCCGACGTTCTATCCACTGAGCCAAACCGGCTAGGGCTAAAGTGCATTTTAAATTTTTTCTTAATGGTTTTCCTATGTAAAAACATTACCTAATATTTAACTGTTATAGAAATTAAGAAGATAATTTTTAAATTTGAGGACACTGTTTCTGGTTATCCCATGAATAGACCCACCACACCACCCTCACTACTGACTTTCTTCGTCCATGTTGCACAGAACCTCATTAAATATTTTCTACAGGATGCAGGAAGCACATCTTCCCTACACCCATTCAACTTGGACAAGATAAAAGGCAGGCTTAGTTTTAATTAGTGAGGACAGTCTCAGACTCCTCAGTAAAGAAAACTTGAAGAATGGCAAAACTAAGAAGGCAGGATCCAATTGTATATTCTCTGGAAGTTCAGTTGTGGTTATATACTGGGAAATTGTAGGATCCCAGGTGCTAAGAGTTCTTGACTTTCAACATCCATGCTTTCTAGGAGGTGAGAAAACTCAATAGTATAAGTAATGAGGGATTCCACAGTGGGGTTTATTATGGCAACTTCAACATGATTACAATCCAGTAGAGGATTATTATGTTTACAGAAATATCCACAAAACAAAATAGCATATGGTTAACGATAGAATACAAGTAGCATGGGAGCTTAATAAAGTTAACCACTTAAGGAAAATTTCCTTGAAGTATACAAGTCAGATCTGGAAGGGTGTGTAGTATTTGAAATGACTTGATACAAGATTAAATTGGGTTATAAGTGAAATCGGACAAAAACAGAAGCCATATGTTAGAAAGGGATATAATAAAAGCCAGAGTATCATTAGATTTGAGAAAAGTGATGAAAGAAAAGAAATCATTTAAATAATTCTTTCTAAATGCAAAGTAGTTCAAAGTGATATTGAAACTCAATTTTTTAAAACTGGTTATCAATCTATGTTAAACTTCATAATGATTTATTGAATTACTTGGCACAAATGTCTTCATTTAAAAAGTATCTCACTTGAGATAAGTTCCAGAATAAATGATTCAGGATCCTAGGAAATTCTATTGAAAACATTAACTCACTTGTTTATGATGAGCAATTCTCCTCAACAGAGAAGATTCTAAATGTTCATGTCAGCACTCACTATAATAACTTTTCATATCAATTATTTTTCAGTTGGAAAGTTCCAAGCACTTTCGTAATTGTCTCTTACAAATCTTCAGCAGGGTTAAGTACAATTTAGAAGAGTTTATATCTCCATGACAGGAAAAACTTGACAGAATATATATCATGTGCCTCTTTTGAGTTTTCTTCAGTTCCTAAGCAAAGGATAATGAGAATAAAAATAGGAGAATAAATGAAGAAATATTTGAAATGAAACCATGAAGAACTCAGAAATATTCTAAAGAGGTAATTTCTTTCTTCCTTAGAATGTGCTTTCCATCCTAGGCTTTAAGCATTCTTGATTTTATAATTTTATATCTATACAAATTCTGGTGTATGCAAGCCTTTAGCAAGCAAACTAGAACTTTACATTTGAACAGTAAGCAAGAGGAGAAGAAAGTTTCTATTGTTAATCTTGCCCTTTTAAAAATACAATTTTACTACTTAAGCTTTATATCAATTGAAGATGTAAAGAAGTAAAACCAATCATTTCTGGTAATTCTAGAGAAAACAACCAATATAATGACTAATACCTAATTAAAATGAATACTTAATAATTTTAAGCTAATGCTATGATGATCACATTAAAAATCAAGACACTTCTCTGATGCATATTAAATATTTATTCCCCAAATTATCAGTTTTTTCTGTCTCTCCCTCCTCTCCTCCCTTCCTCCCTTTGAGTAATGGAATAAAGAAGGAACTTTAATATTCACATACTTAAAAAATGAAAATTCTTTCTAACTCTTAAAACTTACTGATGCATATTTTCACTAAATATTAAGGAATTAAATAATTGAAACCTCTAGAAGCATGGATGATAATCCTATAAAAATGGTATTTCTAATAACTTAGGCAAAATTAGAAGTGTTCAAAATAGGCTTGCTATAATAATGAGAGAAGCATTAGCTAGTAGCCTCATTTTAATACCATGGCTAGTTTTTTTCTCCTAAAAAGTTAGTTTTATTTTATTGATAAATATCATAAAGCTATAGTGAAGTCTGCAGAGAAGATTATCAAATTGAGTGGGATCAATTTTTATAGTTAACAAAATATTTTTAGGTAAAAATATAGAGTAAATTATTAGGTAACGATTTGTTATATCGCCCTAAGTAGTAGCATATCTAGGTAAAAAACAGACATTTTCCTGGTAGATAAAATCATTTGTCATTTGCTTATGAATGATTATCCCAATCTAAGTTTATTCAATGTGAAATGGCTACTGATTTATGCCTTTCTGGAAACATCCTTTCTTCTCATAGTTTACTGACTTAGTTACCATGAATATTATACTCATTTCATAGTAGATCTATACTACAAAGTCCTTCTGAAAAGAAAGTTGGTTTTACCACTTTAAGGAAAAAAGTCAGAAATGAATGCATTAAAATACAATTAGAAAATGCATTTCTCAACTGGAAAAGCAAGGACACTGTCTGCATCAAACCTTTTAGTTTATCTGTGCTAAACTCTAACATACTTCCAGTATCATTTGACTGTGTATTCAATGCTATTAAGATAATCTATAAATATTACCTATAAAATTATTAATGCGATCTGAAACTGAGGTCATGATTTTTTAGATAAAATTAAAATTTAGATAGAAACTCTCTCCTGGACTTGATGACAGTAAACATAATTTATGTATTTTTTTTCTATTCATACATCTTTTCCATTTGATATTGCCACTCTTAACATTTAAGTTTAATAAACATACATTTACACATCTGTTACAATGGTGGTTCTTGCTATTCTGAGAGCACAGAATTTTTCTCCTAAAATTCAAGAGTTTAGGCACACGATTCTTTCCATGGTGCCAATATTGGGCTATGTGGTACCAGATTGGGAGGAAGATTGGAAAAGAAAGAGGAAGCATCTTCTTTTGTATTTATGGAGTGAGCTTTCCAGCCTGCTGAGGAAGGTGAGCATGTCATCAGCATCAGTCAAGCTTTAAGATCAGAAGGCTTTTCTTACTCTGAACGAATTCTTGATTCTCTTCTATCACCCTTTCTTGGAAAATAATGAGACTTGTCTCCTTATAAAGAAATTAGTCTGCTTGGCAGGTTTTTCAAAAATCAGAACATGATAAAATTAAGAAAATACATTTGATTGTATTTTGGCAAGTTAGAAACTGGGATTCAAGCTAAATAAATTAGAATTACTTTAGGGAAAAATCAGACTGTTTTTTCCTGCCTTTGCAAATATAATATGGCAGATGTGGCTTGTTGGCTACTGGATATTTGGTAGTACTGGAAATGGCTGTTTTCTTTCAAAGTGTGTTAAATATCACTAATACTGTGTTATATGGTCTGTGCTGATTTCAGTGGCTGCCCTTCTACTGTTTCAGTCTTTTATTTTCCTAAAAGAGTAGCCTGAGTCTATTGAGCTATTTGAAGCTTTAGGTAAAAAATAAAATAATACTTTATCTGTCTGCATTTGATTCTGTGTAAGTGATGATTATTTCTCTCCTTTTTATTTTTGTTGTTACCATAATGTAATTCAGAAAAAACTCAACATCTGTTCTCATCCTAGCCATACATACCAAGAAAAAATGATTAAAATATACGCAAGCCAATGATCTTTTTAAAAAGGAAGCCTAGAGGACTGCTATACTATTTGTGGAATAAACAGAATGCTTGATAGTGTTTTTTATTGCCTCATTTAGAATTGCTAGTATAACTCAAAGATAGCCTTATCCTCTTTGAGAAATGGAGTCATTCTACACTCATGCTATAGCAATAAAGCATTGTAATATGTATTAAGCCATCCACGTGACTGCAGTCCAGTACCCTTTATAAAGAATTTCATACCAAGTAAAACAGAAAGCGTAACTAAAGGTACCTGCAAATGTGATTGTACATTAGCTCTAAATTACAAATGAAAATAAGGCTAAATCACCATGCACTATTGCTTGTGCTGTATTCAGCATATCCTATTTCTTAACCCTGTATAACATAGCATGTTAAAGATGAAAGGGACCCCAGAGATTGCTTTCGTTTTCTTTCTTTTTTTAGTATAAAATGCAATCAAAAAGAAGTTTCTCCTCTAAAAAGTGCTTGGGGGTTGGCAGTTTGTGAAGGAGGGTCACATTTTAAGCTTCAAGCTTTGTTTTTGCTATTTCTAAAATGAAGGTATAATATCTTTGGAAGTAGTGGGAAATACAATTTAAAAGTTTGGAATATAAATATTTCAAAATTATGTGATTCTCCCTCCAAAGCTTACTAACATTTTTATCAGTATGCAATATTTTAAAATGTATTCTTCACTCTATAAATCTGTTACTAAATATCACTGACTCTCCCTGTGAACTTTTCTATCTGATCATAAGTAACTGCATATATTTGCATGGTGGCTGCACAAAATTAGAAAATTTCCATTTCATATTAATTGTTGTTCTATAGGTTTGTCAGATAGAAAATTCCATGATGATGAAAATATTTACAGGGTTGTCTAATATCTGTAACCACATGTGGTTGTTGAGCTCTAAACTTACCATAATTGAGTTTTAATTTTTATTTTATTTTAATTTCAATATCAATAAACTCATGTCCCCTAATGGGTTAGCCATTTTTGTGTTTAATAAAGCTGGCTTTTGTTTTTTGAGCTCTGGAAAATTTTCATATTTTTTCAGAAAAATAATATTTAAGATCTGTAAAGAAGTAATTTAGATGTATAATTAAAATAAAATGCTAGTTTCTAAGGATCATGTCTGAGAGTCAAGATCCCTGATCCAGAGACAATGGCCCCGATGGAATGGAGCCTGAAGGCGTCATCGAGAGTAACTGGAATGAGATCGTTGACAGCTTTGATGACATGAACCTCTCAGAGTCCCTCCTCCGTGGCATCTACGCCTATGGTTTTGAGAAGCCCTCTGCCATCCAGCAGCGAGCCATTCTTCCTTGTATCAAGGGTTATGATGTGATCGCTCAAGCCTAATCTGGGACAGGAAAAACAGCCACTTTTGCCATATCGATTCTGCAACAGATTGAATTGGATCTAAAGGCCACTCAGGCCTTGGTCCTGGCACCTACTAGAGAATTGGCACAGCAGATACAGAAGGTAGTCATGGCTTTAGGAGATTACATGGGTGCCTCCTGCCATGCCTGCATTGGTGGTACCAACGTGCGTGCAGAGGTGCAGAAGCTGCAGATGGAAGCTCCCCATATCATCCTGGGCACCCCAGGATGTGTATTTGACATGCTTAATCGCAGATACCTGTCTCCCAAATACATCAAGATGTTTGTACTGGATGAAGCTGACAAAATGTTAAGCCGTGGGTTCAAGGACCAGATCTATGACATATTCCAAAAGCTCAACAGCAACACCCAGGTGGTATTGCTGTCAGCTACAATGCCTTCCGACGTGCTTGAGGTGACCAAGAAGTTCATGAGGGACCCCATTCGGATTCTTGTCAAGAAGGAAGAGTTGACTCTGGAGGGTACCTGTCAATTCTACATCAATGTGGAAAGAGAGGAGTGGAAGCTGGACACATTGTGTGATTTATATGAAACCCTCACCATCACCCAGGCAGTCATCTTCATCAACACGCAAAGAAAGGTTGATTGGCTCACTGAGAAGATGCACGCCCGAGACTTCACCGTCTCTGCCATGGTGAGATTTCCCTTTTACTAACCAGCAGTGTGTACGAGTCAGTAGCCCACTGAAGCCAGTTTTCAGAACCAATGTGCCTACACTCTTCTTTCCCATCCTAGCATGGAGACATGGACCAAAAGGAACGAGATGTAATCATGAGGGAGTTCCGCTCTGGCTCTAGCAGAGTATTGATTACCACTGACCTGCTGGTAAGTAAGGGGGGATTTAGACAAAACAGAAGGGAGAAACCAAGGTGATTCCCTCTCCAAGGGGACTAATAGTGCCCCTCTTCAGGAAAGTAGCAACTTGGAATAGAATCTGGCATGCCTCAGGTTTTCAGGGGAGGTGATACACCATTTCCTTGGCCTTCCTTTGGCTGCCTACATGTATACTAAAGTCCCAAGTTCCTTCTGGGTGGCTTATGCCCTCTCACTCACATGCTGAAGCTGTCTTGTTTTCTTGCCACAGGCCAGAGGCATTGATGTGCAGCAGGTTTCTTTAGTCATCAACTATGACCTTCCCACCAACAGGGAAAACTATATCCACAGGTGAGTGTGTTTGCCCAGCCCTCATGCCCAGTCCTCGCTGGGCTGAAGCTTGTTTTCTCTTTACTGTGTCCCCATGTATCCTAAGATAGTAGCCATTTTTACATTGTTTTGTATAGTATTTATTGATTCAGGAAACAAAATTCTGAATAAAATTACTTGGAAACTGAAAAAAAAATAAATGAATAAATAAAATATTCTGTCTTCACAGTCTGGATTTTTATTATCTAGTTAATATGTTTCAGTCACCCTTGTAAATCCTAGCCATGCAAAAGTTATTTCAGTAATATCTTTGCTATCACCTCAAATCCTCCTCTGAAGCCAGCGATAGTGCCTGCCTGCAATACTCGTGTCAGAAGCAAAACATTTGTTGTTGCCCGTGTTATCCTGTGAGTTTTCAATTCTTCTCAAAATGGGCTTGTGTAGTGTAGGGATAAAAGTGTTCTGTCAGTGTCTGAACCAGGGACTTCTCACCCATGATGCGGCAGGAAAATGTAAGGGGCTGTCAGAGGATCTTCAGAAGAAAGGTGTTCAGACAGGATATGTGATGGGCACGGACTGCCCCGGTGATTGTACCAGAAGGAGAGCAGAGAAGAAACCTGTAGCAAGTGACTTTATTGAGGAATTTGGAGAAGAATACCTAATAGGTATCTTATTAAAATTCATAAAAACAGATGGTTTTTCCGTATTCAACATAAATTCAAGAGATTTTGCTCCCTTTTTAGGTTGTTGTTTCTCCAGTACATATGCACTTATGAATAAATTCATGGATGGAACTTGTTTGTATTTTATGAAAGAATGAACTAGGCAGCCCTAGAAACACTTTCAATGTTAAAAATTTATCAATATCACTGGGTTCAAAAGGAAGCCAAGGTACAATGGGGGGAAGTTATTTTGTACTGAAATTCTGCTTCAATTTTTCCCAAAGCCTATCTTAGATACTTATTTTATAAAGTATGTAATCTTCTCTAAAGGATCTCCATATTAAATTAGTTAAGATTAAAACCACCATAAATAATTAAATGAAGAAGGGAAGGATTACTAGCATAACAGACATAATACAAGTGGCAAAAGTAAGTGAAAGAAAAGGCTATGACAACAAAATAAAATCTGTGCATGTATTTCAACTGGCATTTATTTACTGCTAATTTCCCTTAATTACTGGGAAGTACAGTTAGAAGAGACAAGTCTAAGTAAAAGAATGGGTGCAGTAATGAAGAGTCCAAAATATCCCAATTCCATGTCTACTTCCTATATTCCTTTACACACTTTCATTCCTTTTCTCTGCACTTCTCTGCTTTATGCTTTGACATCCTGTTTGTGTGACGGTGTCACACTTATAATTAGCAACTTTATTCACAATGAAAGTTATAACCCTGCAAAATGTTAGAAGAAAAATAATTCCCACAGAGTTGAAACAAAAATCAAAAACAAAGGATGTACTCCAATTTTCAGAATGAATATTTGCTTTAAGTACTTAGGGAAGATGTTGAATAATCCTTACTCCATGTATGATTTCAAATACCTACTATCCTATCTAATAATAGACAAACATGGTAATTGACCGTACCTTCACTACACCTCCCATTGGCTAATCAGCGTGATATGCAAATTAACCTCCAACAAAGATGGTGGCTAATTTGCATACTGCAGGCAGGGAGAAACAGCGCAAGCCACCAGCGTGCTGCCATCCAGGGCAGGCCGGCCTCAGAAGCCCCAGAAGCTGCCTGATATGGTAGTAACTCTATCAGTAAGCACTCTGAAAGTCAGTGGCATAAATGCAACAATTAAAAGACAGATTATGAGGGTGAATAAAAAACAAAACCCACTTTAAATATAAAGACACATATAGATTAAAAGTAAATGAATTAAGCTGCAGCCTGTTTTGCTCAGTGGATAGAGCATTAGCCCATGGACTGAAGGGTCCCAGGTT